TCATTTGTTTAATCTCAATTTGATAGTAAACACAGCAGCTAAGTTGACAGTGTTGGATGGCATTATGGCCACGAAGATCAGAAGATCTGCAGTTTCATTCCTTTAAATATTGAGGGCTATTTGCAGAACAAGTAGAAAATCTTTTGAGGGCCTTTTCTCTTTCCCGTGATAGGATTAGAGATCATTAGTTTCAGAACTTGTATATTCAGTCTGAAGCCATCCTTTTTATGACAAAGATGACTTAGCAACCTCATAGATATCTTAATTGGCTCTTTTTATGTAGATTTCTTTTATACTTGGGTGGCAAACCCATTGGTCTTGTGAATGTACATTCTTATTATTTCATTGGGAATACCGTAGAAATGAATATTAGATACATGATATCAATGACTTAAAGAAAAAAGTCTTAATATAAGAAAAAGTCTCAATATATGATAATTAATAAAGACTGGTGTACTGGAAGGAAATGGATTTGCAATGAGAAAGCATGATAAGTCAAACCTTCATCCCTTTGTACAGAGCTCGTGACCTACAAGAACGCAGACACGAATGGTCATATTCAGATTTAACATACTCCTGTAGCCGGTGAATTTTATTTCTTCGCCTCCACTGTTTCCAAGACCATGCACAGGGGTATGCAATAATTGAAAGTATGCTGTGCACTGATCCTTCCCACCAATCATAAGCAGCAACAGAGTTAATCTCATCAATAAATCTGTTAAAAACATCTTCGTACCTGCATATAAAAGGATACTTGTATTATTATAAATGTTATTTGAGATGTGAAGTGAACCAACCTGATGCTAAGATAATATTATTCTTCAAATATCAGAGGCTTCATAGTATGAATCTAATGTATAAAGAGTATATATCAAGGGACAACAATCCGCTTCTCAATATCATGCCATTAGAATGCTCAACTTCTTAAATAGCCAAAATCACCGGTGAAGAGAATTTTCCATAATCGATAAAATGAGGTCAAAACTGTCAAGTAAAATTAACAAACTTTTTAATAATAAATAATCAACTTTTGATGATAAGTACTAAGTTTACACAAGACCGCATAGAACTGTACTACCATCCAATTGCACCATTTTATGGCTCCAAACTCAACATTTTCTTACACAATCTCAATTATCGCATTAGGAGGAGAATAAGGAAGATGCCATGGTTCTCTGAAAGTATTTCGACCCATAAAGTACATTCTATAAACATGGCTTTGGGTCTCTTCAGCTCTTGTTCCTCGCACCTAGATTTGCAACAGATGATGCACACAAGAAATGTCAGACTGATATACCTGGAACATCTTATTTCTCCAGACAGTACAAGAAGCAGAAGTTGAAACAGAGATGCTTGCAAAAAATAACATACCTCAGATAGTGAAAGGAGATGTGGGAGATGTCGATGATTTTGGTGTTCAATTGAATTAGCACCATAAGAACCTGACCCAAGCAGTTTGACACTCAAAGTACTCAACAACAATGCCAGGAGCATCAAGGTGCATGACAGAAGAAGTGAAAAAGGCCATGGACCCCCAAACATATATATCAGCTCCTCAAGAGGTGTGTAGCAGTTAGGCATCCTATATTTGTCAGATACACATTCATAGGGACAAAAAGGTTGACTAACTCCTCCTGCAGTGATTGCGCTTCTCACATGAGATAAGACCCATTCTGTTCTTAGAGGGGCATACAAAAGATTTAAATTCTAAATCAATTAGATTTTACCTCGCACGTATATAAAATTCGCACGGTTTGGGAGATGCTCAATTGAGCAAGGAGTACAAAGGTGTTCATCAGACCCTTCAACGTCCTTGTAAGTCCCAATAGGGCATTCCTGAAAATATATCCTAGTGTTAAAATTAGAAAAGAGAAAACAAATCTACTTAGAGCAAGGACTACAAATGATGTATGACATTTTCACAATTACATAACCACTAGTAAACAGCTAACAGGCAGCACTATTTTAACAAAGTTCAAGGTAGACACAGAAGAGAGTAGGAGCAAATGAGAGAAAAAGAGAAAACCGAGGGGGAAAAGGGGAGGAAAAAAGAAAAGGAAAGAAAAAGGGAACCAAATCCTTTGTTTTCAATCTCAAAGGAATCCATCTCAAAGAACTTGTCATTCATGAGGATTGTTGCAAGAACCTTGTTTCAATCACTACAGTTGAATGACTTAATCTTTAATACAACCAATCCGCACCTGTACAAACTAGCTTTGGCAGATAATTCACAAATTTTGATAATTTTAGTAAATTCTTATTTCTATTCGTCGTAACACCTACAGTGCAATTTTGTATTTGTAGTTCCCACAATGTTCACATATATTCTTTTAGCCGACCTTTGCTTCATGATAAACAAGTTTAGCATGATAATATTACCAATAGTTATCATTTTATACTTGACAAAAGATGTGATTTTAGAACATATGACAACAGATAGATGAGAGATACAAACATATAAAGCACTTGCATCATAAAAAATTAAAAAAAATGAGCATGTTTAAGTTGAAAACGA